GGTCTACCTTGGATCCGCCGTGAGTGCCCACTCTGGTGACACCCCCAGCAGCCCTCGAAAGTGGCGACAGCCTCGCAGATCGCAGCCCCCCAGGGATGGCGAGGTCTGATTCTGATCCGCGGTGAATGCCCACTCTGCTGGCCTCCCCAGCAGCCCTCGAAAGTGGCGACAGTCTCGCAGATCGCAGCCCCACAGGGATGGCGAGGTCTACTGTGGATCCGCGGCGAATGCCCACTCTGCTGGCATCCCCGGCAGCCTTCGAAAGTGGCGACAGGTTCGCGGATCTCAGCCCCCACCCCCTCCCCCCAACCCCACAAAGGGATGGCGAGGTCCAATTCTGATCCGCGGTGAGTACCCACTCCGCTGACCCCCCCAGCAGCCCTCGAACGTGGCGACAGGCTCGCAGATGGCAGCCCCCCCGTGATGGCAGGATCTAGTTTGGATCCGCGGTGGGTACCCACTCTGCTGGCATCCCCAGCAGCCCTCGAGAGTGGCGACAGCCTCGCAGGTCGCAGCCCCCCAGGGGCGGCAAGGTCTAATTCCGACCCGCGGTGAGCACCCTCTCTGTTGGCCTCCCCAGCAGCCCTCGAACGTGGCGACAGCCTCGCAGGTCGCAACCCCCCAGTGATGGCGAGGTCTCATTTGGATCCGCGGTGAGTGCACTCTCTGTTGGCCTCTCCAACAGCCCTCGAAAGTGGCGACAGTCTCGCAGATCGCAGCCCCACAGGGGTGGCGAGGTCTGATTCTGATCCGCGGTGAGTGCCCACTCTGCCGGCATCCCCAGCAGCCCTCGAACGTGACGATAGCCTCGCAGATCGCAGCCCCCATCGACGGCGAAGAGGGGGCAGCGCAAGTAGCATGAGGCGCAGCAGGTGCCGATCTCATCTACATGCTGATGGCAGCTTGAGCGGCGCGCAGTAAGTGGACGTATGATGAGGACGATTGGGGTGGGGATGCAGCGTGCCGTACTTTATTATAAAAGTGAAATGACAGCACCGTGTATGCATGGGCGCTCTCTCGCTCGAACTGGGAAGTATACAGTGGCGGGAGAGCGAGCCCAATGCGGATGACGGGATCGGAGGGGAGAGGGGAGCGGACGAGGGACAGAAAGCCAAGGAGGCGGGGACAAGTGAGATAGTGAGGGAAAGAATCCGGACAATGAGGGCATCCGAAAAGGCAGTTGGCAGGCGTCTCGAACATGACTCTGTGTGTGGTCGTCCACCCGCCCACTATGGTTTCGATGTGTGCCCAAACCCACGCTGGCCTCGAATTGCTGAAAATCGCTTTCAGCTCCGGCCAAGTCTGCTGGAGCTCACTGACCTCCGGCGCAGCTAATTCACCAACCCATTTTTCAAACCGCCTCCTCAATAGGCTCGGCATGGAATCGGGGTAGAGGGAGGGGAGGAGGGAGGAGAGGTACAGACTCTGAGGACGTGCTCGGCGCTGCTCGGCAGCGGCGGCCGCGCATCCTTGCATCGTTGCCTGACTTGCCGTGCACAAGCGCGACCGCGATAAGTTATGCCACGGTGTGCTATCTACTGCTTCGGCCCACCTCTGCACTATGGCCTGCGGTTCCTTCCATAATGGTCCAAACCACTCGCCGCGGAGAATCGCGACAACTTTATGGCAAGTTTCCGCGTTGGTTCGCAACTGTTCGACCAAGGGGCGCCACTCTTGCACTGTAAAGCCTCCCGTGCGCCACAAGTGGGCCTGGCACCAGGGCGCAAGCGGCCTATGGCGCCCTCCCGGGACCTAGCCACACAAGGAGTGAAGCGTAGGGCCATCGAATGAATTCGAAGGGAGGCGCAAGACACGATGCAATAAGATACGCTCACGATCAAGCATGGACTGGAGAGGACGGAAAAACTGAGCCAGATACGATAGCACTGATAAGGCTAAGGTGGAGTAGGAGCGGAGAGAGGCGTCGGAAGGGGCACGAGTAGTCGGAATAAAAGAAGCTCTCTCGAGCCATTTCTGCTCTGGTACTTGCCATTGGTCGAGGTTCGTTGCCCCTGGTCCCATCAAAACCCCAGATACCGCACAAAGCTCTCCACTCTGAACTTCGACCACTCCGGAACCAGCTCTTTCAGCCGAGCTCCAATGGCAATTTGAGTGTCCAACGTGACATCGCACCAGAGAGGAACTAAGACGGTCTTAGCCGTTTGAAGAAAGAGAGCGGCGTTGAAAACCGGCCGCAAAACTGTCAGAGAAGACATGCTGCTCAATACGGCGCCGATGTCGTCGGCGCATGCGCCTGCAGCTCCTTTGTTGTTCTCCACAATGTCGGCGTGCAGGTGCCGGAGCAGCGGGTCCATGGCCAGCGCCCATAGCATGCCTAAGAGCGGACACTCCTGGGCGACGCCTCCCGTGGCCCAGAACATGGGCTCGTGCACGTGGCCCACTTTGCAGAAGACCAAACTGTTGTCGTATAGGGCGATGATGGCATTGATGAAGCCCTCGGGGATGAGAAAACGGCGCAGGACCATCCACATCCAAGTTCTCGCCTATGATGGGAACGCCGCCTTAATATCGAAGCTGATGAAGCATGGCCTGGCCTCTTCCACGTTGGCTTGATTGCTCGCGATGCGGGCCTGAGCGTCCAGCCTGACAATGTGCTTGATGAAGTGGCGCTGCGGCACGAAGCCCTGCTGGATGTGATGTACTTCGCGTTGCGCCACCTTTTTTGGCTTAATGTTGATGGTAGCGGCGATGATCTTGCTATCGCTGTTTTTGAGAAGTAGTGGCCGTAGGGCGTGCGTGTGGCGGACGACCTCCACGCGATCTTGCGGGTCATCGCCTTTGGGGAGCATCACCATGTCGCCGTAGTTTAGCCCAGCCGGTACTGGGCTACCCGCGAAGAGGTGCAGGAGCAGGTCGTAGAGGCATTCCTGGAACTTGTCGTGCGCCCCCCTTGCCGCGTACGTCAGTCGGTCGGGCCCCGGAGCGGTGTCCGAGCTCCTGTGGATGACGTGGCACAGGTCGTGGTACGTCGGGACGTCGATGTCGGGGGCCGTCCGAGCAGGCGCATGTTCGTCGAGATATGCCCGGATGGCATTTTCATCCACTGGCGTGTCGGTGAAAATCGGCTCCCAGTGCGTGATGAGGGCCTTGACGATGTCCTCCGGCTGGCGTGCAATGCCAGCCTCGTCAGCGTGCTGCTCTCCACCTTGTTGTTGAAACCCGCCAGGTTGAGCCATGCGGACTCCTTGGAGAAGCATTCGTCGACGGTGGCATGTCCAGAGCATGGCCCTCCTGTTCGCCGCACGGGCCATCTTGCGGGCGTCAGTTGCGCTGAGTTGCGGCCCTGCTTGGGCGTGCGGCGGTCGACGCTGCAGGCGTGCAATTGCCTGCTGATGCTGCCTCTCGGTCCATGCGTGGGTGAGCATGCGGGCATAGTTCTCGAAGCCATCGGGGTCCGAAATTGCAATCCCTTCTGCACCCTGGATAAGGAGATACTTCCGGCCAAGCTCGGTGGTGGCTCTGAGGCGGGCTGCAAGCCCGCGATCTTGCTTCCATACGCAACGAGCGATGGATCTCATCGTCAATCCTCGTGTATCCTCAGCTCCTTCAGAAAGGTCTCCAATGGGAAGCTGCGAGAGTTCGTTGCGTGTCTCCCGGGCGGCGTTTGTTATGATTTCCTTGCACGTCTTCCACGCCCTTGTGGTGGTGAGACTCCCCCAGTCTGTGTGGTTGACGTGGCGCTCTACATGCTGTCGAAATCGGGCGTGTTTGAATATGTAGGCCGGGATGTGCTGGTCCTCGGAGCCCATGGCATTCTTGACCTGCAGCTTGAACTCAATGATCGCATGGTCGCTGAGCCTCCAATCACTTAAGTGCGCGGCCTCTTGCAGCACCGTCACTGAGCATGCTGTCTCCTGCAGGAACTGCGAAGATGATGAGATGAAGACTCTGTCGATGTAGCTGCATGAGTTGTGGTACTTCGAGAAATGCGTGGGTAAATTCGTCTCCAACTCCACCATGCCGCTCTCGTAGAATAGTCGTCTCCAAAATGGCTGTCCGTGTTGTGCACGGCTAGCCTCGCCTCGTGGAATCCCCGTCGGATGTGTTAGAGAGCAGGATGGTTTGTCCGAGATGTTAAAGTCACCCGCAGCGAAGAGGGGGCAGGAGGAGGGAGGAGGCGGGAGGAAGGACGCGCGAGCAGTGCTCTATTCAAAACGAATACCCAACCAAGGAGGGTTGGGGAAAAATGGTTCACGGATTGAGGGCGAGTGGTTTTCAAAATGTGGCTCTCGCCTTAGCGCCGCGCGCATTCGTTTTGAACATTTGCCAGAGTTCCACTGGTTCTCATAACTAACCTGTCAGAAATGGCATTTTGGAACGACTCAAACTTGTCAGGGCGTAACGGTTACGTTGGTTCGCGGTGTGAAGTCCCAGGAACGGCGTTCTGGCACGATTCATGATCGCCAAGCAGTCACAGTCAAGTCAACTCACGGCGGTGAAGTCCTGAGAATAATGTTTTAGCACGCCTCAGGATGTTCACACGGTAGTCCCCCAACAAGGCATTTCCCAGTGGAAATGGCTCCTTGTAGGGGCCTATGAAGGGGAATCTTGGAGGGAGGGTGTATTTGAACGAGTCTTGGCTTTATACTGGTCCTCCTCCTCCTCCTCCTCCTCCTCCTCCTCCTCCTCCTCCTCCTCCTCCTCCTCAAGATCATCATCATCAGCAGCATCATCATCAGCATCATCATCTTCCTACTCCTCCCTCCTCCTCCTCCTCCTCCTCCTCCTCATCATCATCATCATCAGCAGCAGCAGCAGCATCATCATCCTCATCCTCCTCCTCCTCCTCCTCCTCGCCCTCCTCCTCTTCCCTCTCCTCCTCCTTTCTCTTCCTCTCCCCAGTGCTCCCCCAAGGGGTTCCACAACGGCTTGGGGAACATATAGTTCAATAGCTTGGCCAGACTTCGGCCCAACGTCTGGCCGCATGGGCATTTCCAAAAGGCAGGGGCGGCGGTGATTCGCCGTAGGCGTCTTCTGGCAGTGATCACGTTGAAAAGTCCAAAAATCATCACGATCATGCCGGTGAGGTACACAACGTCGAACCTGGCACCGAAGCCTGCGCTGAAATGCGATGCCAGAGACTGGCCGCCCGAGCTGGTGCAGTCGCCAATCATGCAACGGAACACCGTGAACATGCACTTCGGCAGATTGCCGCAGTACTCCTCCGATCAACAAAAAATATCCCTAACCCCTTGGGAGGGGACCTGAGTTAGGAGGGCCAAAACCACTAGGGATACAAGGTCTTTCTGCAGATGTATCAGACCAAACCGTCTGGATAGATGATCCCTGATGCGAAGACGGGGACCTCAGTGAGGCCACGTCTTCATCGTGTTACAAGGGTTAGGGTTTTTTTGTTCCCGATGGTCCTCGGCGTAGAGCTTGTAGACTACGCAGTCGGGGTCGGTGGACAGCGGGTTATCGCCAGAGCCGCACCTCTCGACCAGGAGCTCATCGCCGGGAACGGGGCCGACCGAGATCCGGAGGCCCATCGCCAACAGGGCCACCGTGACCCAGATGATGATCGAGACCCAGAAGAGGGCCGGTGAGCCGAGCACGAAACCTTCGGTGGCAACTCAGGGGAGCCTCCCATACCATCTTGTTGGCTTTTGCGAATCGACGCTCATTGATGCTGGTCGACGCTAATCGACGCTAAATCGACGCTAGCCAACGCTGGATCGGCGCCATCTCGTCGACTTTCAGACGCTAATCGACGCGAATCGACGCTAAAGATGGAATTGAGAGGGTATGCCAGGCCCCCATGATTTGCTAACGAACGAAACCCATGAGCATGTTCGCTAGCTCGCGGATCAGCGGCGACCGGACGATCTTCAGGAGGCGCGCGAGCCGCATGAGCCGGAAGAAGCGCAGGACCAGCGCGAACTTGCCGAAACCAGCAGAGCCTGCCTGAATGGCTAGGGTGAGGCAGACATCCCCGACCGAAACGCTGGTGATTGCGAAGTCGAACCAGTTCCACCGCCGGTCGTGGCCGAACCAGAACTCGTGCGAGCCATGTAGCAGCATCCTCAGGACTGAGTCGCTGATGAAGATGACCGCGAAGAGGACCTCCAGCACAATCCACCCGCCCCAGTCAGGGTCGGTCTCTGTGCTGATAGCCAAACAAAATACACTAGCGACTACTGTCAGCGCGACCGCTACATTCAAGGCGAGGTCCATCCTCATCGTCCAGGCTGCATCTCTTGCAGGCGCGACATTGTCTTCAGAATCTAAGTCCACGGTCATCATGATTCGCTTCCGAGACAATCTTGCGATTACCTCCGCCACGTCCTGCCTTAGCAGGACTTTCTGTATCTTTTCGATGGGGCGAGACAGTTTTGGTTCCACCAGGCTCGGAAGGTCGGGCATCAGGATGACATCCACGAAAGCTTGGAAGCTGATGCCAGTGCCAGGGCGCGGCTGTTCGAACGAGTCCACGGGAATCTGCCCGTCACGGGAGCACGCCTGGCTCCCAGAGCCGTCTGGATTCGTGCTCTTGAACGGGGATACGCGAGCCAGCTCGTGGAGAGACTGTTCGAGGAAGCTGCTCTTGAAGTTACGCAAGCCTCTCTTAGCTAACACCTGCCCAAGATTATCGGCGGTGACTGTGTAGGCGTACTGCTGCGACACGTTCAGGCCAAACCCGCCAGCCCGCTTGCGGGGGGCATTAGGCTGCGAAGCAGGCTTCAGCAGCCGAGCAGCTTGCGCAATACTCTTCGCAACTCAGGAACTGGCCTCCATGCATCCTGAGCCATTTCATCAGGACTCAGAAACTCAGCGCCACACTGCTTCTCAATCGCTGATATCGCTTGTCAGCGCGAGTGAACGCCCCCCAAAGTCCAAACTGGGCATCACACCTTCCCTAACACAGATTCTGGGGTGCCCTGGAACACGCAGCATGCCGGATTCGCGCTCCGAGGGCGACGATCTCTCGGAAAAGCTCGTTTGGGGCACGCACGGGAAGCGCTGCTGTCGGTGGAATTTGCTATACGTTGCGGCGACTTGTTACTTGGTGCTGTAGATGTTGATGCCTACTGCATGCTGCTGATGCTGAGTATTGCCGGCTGCGGTTGCTTGCCAATTCGTGCTGCTGTTTGCTGCCTGTTGGGGATTTGCTCACGCCTTTGGGACCTCTCGTGGGACCACGCATCTTCCAGCCCTGTGTTGCCTGTTGGATGGTATCGGGGCCTTCTGAACCGTTTCGGGATCCCCTTGGGTCATCTAGAGATCTCGTGGGGCCGCCTGACACCTTCTTGGGGTCCTCTTCGGGTCCTCTGGGGCGTCTTGTGTCATCTGTGGACGTCTTGGGGCCTTTCGGGGGCTCTCTGGGGCCGTCTCAGCGTTGTCTTGCACCATCTTGAGGCTCTCTGGGGCCGTCTTGGGACGCCCTGGATGAGGTGCTCGTAGAAACCCTCCTGCGCTGCCTCGGAAACCACTGAAGGCCTCTTGGAGATCTGCTGAACCGAAGATGAGAAGAGCTAAAAATCAAAGTGAGTAGGCCGAACGGTCTTATCAGAGTGAGGGGGCCGAACGGCCTCACACTGTTTGTGGGTGCGTGGCTGAAGTGGCGTTTCGAGGTGCGGACTGCTTCAGTGGTTGCTATTGAAACGTCACTTCTGGAGAATATGTTTGGCTGATCCCCCTGTCCAGCGCGGATTGCTTTTTCAATTGAAGTGCCCCCCCCCCCCTGGGGCTAGCACATTGCACTGTATCAGGAAAAGCGTCCTAAGCACACTGTGTTGCTGGGCCGCCAGCTACCATAGCATTAACAGCAATCAATGTACGACTGTTCGCTCTTCTCTGCTCGCGTGTACTTCATCATGTACAGCCCAGACCCTCGATGACCGCCCTCTTCGTCTTCGATCGTGCCCTTGGGGGCATGTCCTCCTCCTCTGACACACGTAGCTAGCGCAGCCCCTGAAATAGGAGAGGGGAGAGAGGAGGGAAGGGACGAGGGGAAAAAGGAGAAGCATGGAGCACGAGAGAGAGAGAGAGATTGGCAGGGAGCGGGGCCAGGAGCAGGAAAGCACACGCGGCAAGACGCGACGGCCAGGTCGGGCGGGCGGACCCCAAGTGGGCGGGTCGGGCGGGCGGGCCTGGACGGCGGGGGCGGGCGGGCGGGTCGCCGAAGCATCAATCCTGCATGGATCGCGAGGACGTCTCGAACAATGGCGCGATTCCCAAGCAGATCGTGAGGACATTCCAAACCGAGAGTGTGATCCCTGAGTGCCGATGGCACGGCGTCTCCACACATTGAAAGGACGACCCACGCGAGAGCGCGATTCTTCGATGAGTTGTGAGGAAGTCCCGCGCGAGAGCGCGATTTTGAATCAACTCTGAAAATACATACGGGGGCCAATGGCACAGCCGCACCACGTGAGGCCCAAGACCTCCCCATGTTAAAAACAGGGTGCGAGCCCCATGAGGAGCACTTCAATTTTCTTCGCCACCAAGAATCAAAGGCGCCCTGGAGGGAGGATCAACAAAAAACTGTTCGCTCCTATCTGCTCGCGTGTCGCTCAACATGTATATCTCGAACCCTCGATACCTGCCCTCTTCGCCTTCGGCCGCACCCCCCTTGAGGGAAAGTCTTCCTCACATTCCACGCGTAGTTGGTGCAGCCCCCAAAACACTGCAAGGGAGAAACAGGCGAAGGGACAACGAGGGCGAAAAAAGATGGAGCACGAGATGCGGGCAATGCCTTTATCCACATCCAGTGCGTCTTGGAGTTTCGGAGTCTCTTCCCAAGAAACATGAGGCGCACTGGATATGGATTATAATCTGCCTCCAAAATGCTCAATGTTTATCCATATCCAGTGCGCCTCGGCCTTGCGGCGCCCCTTCCAAGAAAGTCCAAGACGTACTGGATATGGATATAAATATTGCCCGCACGAGAAATTGGCAGCAGGGTGGCCGGGAGCAGGAGCCCACGCGGCAAAAAACGCGAGACGGGCGGGCCGGGCGGGCGGGCCTGGAGCCGGCGGGGTCCGGCGGGCGGGCCCCGGAAGCAGCAGTCCTGCATGCATCGCGCGGAAGTCTCGAGCAGTTGCGCATTTCCAGAGTACAGTCGGGGCGTTGACCTAAGGAACCCTAAATAAAGAACGAGGCCCCTATTTCCATAAGTTGAACTTCGATTTCGTATCGAAAACCTAAGGAAAATCCAAGGCAAGCTGCGAAACAATTAAGGAACACGGAGCCCCTCCCCAACGAAAAGGGTTCCTTCTTCAGCGCCCCGACTGTAACGCGTGAGGGAATCCAGACCGGGAGCGCAATTCCTGAATGCCGAGATCGCGGCGTCTCAATAGAAAGGAAGTCCCACGCGAGGGCGCGGTGCCTGGAGAAGTTGTGAGGAAGTCCCGCGCAAGAGCGCGATTTTGAATAAATTGTGCGGAAATATTAATCGGGCGCCGTTGTTGTCGTTGTTGGTGGTATTGTGGCTGTTGTTGAACTCTCACTACTGAAGAATAAAGATTATCCCCCCCCTCTGGTGACCACTGTACTGTTTCAATTGGCATGATTCCCCCAGGGCTCGCACCCTTTGTTTTTCTTAAGGGACTCAAGCTGTGTTTTGGCCCCTGGTTTACAACAACAACCACAACAACAACAATCATAGCTAGACTGTTCCCTCTTATCTGTTCGAGTGTCCGATAACGCGTATTCCCCCAACCTTCGATATCCGCCCTCTTCATCTTTGATCGTACCCCTTTGAAGGGTATACCTTTCTTCCCTGCAGGCCGGGCCCCAGCAAGCGGCGGGGCGGCCGCGGACCGTCGGCCTGGCCAGCGGCAGCGCTGATCGGCGACAGCCCGACCCCAAGAGGGACGGACAGGGGACCGACCACGACGACGACGACGACGACGTCGACGACGACGACGGCGACGACGACGATAACGACGACGACGAGCAAAAGCGAGGGCGAGAGAGAGAGAGAGAGAAAGACAGCAGGGCCACGAAGGGCGCGAAGTAGGCCACGAAGGGCGACAGCGGGGACACGAAGGGAATGCGTATGGGGCCACGACGGGCGCGAACGAGCGGGGGGCCACGAAGGGCAGATAATGCGGGGCCACAGAAGGCAACGACGGGGCCACTGAGGGTAGCGACTGGGCCACGTAGGACAGCGAGGGGGCCACAAAGGGCGACAGCGGGGCCACGAAGGGCATGCACATGGGGCCACGACGGGTGCGAACGAGCCGGGGCCACGAAGGGCATACGTATATTGGGCCGCGGAGGGCAAGGACGGGACCACTGAGGGCAGCAACGGGGCCACGAAGGGCAGCAACGGGGCCACGAAGGGCGACAGGGGGGCCACGAAGGGCATGCACATGGGGCCACGACGGGCGCGAACGAGCGGGGGCCACGAAGGGCATACATATATGGGGCCACGAAGGGCAGCGAGAGGGCCACGAAGGGCTGCAACGGGGCCACCAAACAAAGCGAGGGGGGGGCTGCAGGGGGGCCACGAAAGGCTGCAACGAGGCCACGAAGGGCAGCGAGAGGGCCACGAAGGGCTGCATCGGGGCCACGAAGGGCAGCGAGGGGGCCACGAAGGGCCGCAACGGGACCACGAAGGGCAGCGAGGGGGCCACGAAGGGCTGCAACGGGACCACGAAATAAAGCGAGGGGACGACGAAGGACTGCAACGGGGCCACGAAGGGCAGCGAGGGGGCCACGAAGGGCAGCAGCGGGGCCACGAAGGGCAGCGAGGGGGCCACGAAGGGCTGCAATGGGGCCACGAAGGGCAGCGAGGGGGCCATGCAGGGCTGCGATTGGGCCACGAAGGGCAGCGAGATCCCGATTCGTAAAGAATCTGTGCGGGAGTCCTAAGCGTGAGCGCGACTCCTGGGTGCCTGAGTGTCGGGAGCGCGGCGGTTGAACAAATTGCAGGAAATTCCAATGCAAGGGCGCTAGTCTTGAGTAAATTGCAAGCAAGTCTCCAAAGAGCGCCGAGAGAGCAATTCCGAATGAATTGTAAGGAAATCCTAAGCGGAAGCGCGATTCCTAAAATGCGAGGAAGTCTCGGGCGGGAGCGGGGGTCCTGGCTAAATTGTGAGGACGTCTCAGGCGGGAGCCGTTGTTGTTGTAACCCGGGGGCCAACAACGTAGTTTGAGGACGATGATTTGTATCTAATAGAAAAACAGGGTGCGAGCGCCGGGAGGGGCACTTCAATTGAAAAAATGCCATGTGCACTGGAGGGGGGATCAACAATTACTATTCTTCCATAGTGAAAATTCAACGGCTCCCGCCTGATAACTCCCCACAATTTATTCGCTAATCACGCTCTCGCGCGGGATGTCCTTACAATGTGTATACAAATCGCGCTCTCGCGTGGGACTTCCTCCCAGTTGACTCAGACGATGCGCCGTCGGCGCTCAGGAATCACGCACTCGCTGCAACTTTTCTCCCGACTTACTTGGGAACCGCGCTATCGCTCGAAACTTCCTCGCGATTCATGCAGGAGCCACGCTGCAGCAACCCGCCTGCTCGACCTGGTCGCCTGGGCCCGCCTTCCCGACCTGCCCGCTATGGGTCTGCCCACCCAATCTGCCCGTCTGGTTCAACCACTTGTTTCCTGCTCCTTGCAACCCTCCTGCTAATTTCTCTCGTGCTCCATTCTTCTCCCTCCCCCTTCCATCCGTCCTCTCTTCCGCTGTTT